GCTGGATTCAGCTGGGGAGGGGACACAGACAACAGCATGGCAAGAGAAGAGTTCCTCTCACCCTGCCCAGAGCAGGGGCAGGGGACCCCCTTTTCCACCCTTGCTGCTGCTCCTGTCCCTAGCTGAGTTCAGCTCCAGCACAGTGGGCAAGAAGGGCTTCAGTGTTTCCCCACCTGGGGACAGCAAGGAGTCAGGTGGGGAAGGGATTTTTCCATGCTTTGAAACACTTAAAGCCTCTGGAGACTCTTACGGTATAGTGCAATTCAAAAAAAAAAAAATCAGGGGGGAGAAAGGAGTACAGCTGTACCACTACACCCTCTTTGATCTGCCCCTGCACCCAGTGAGGCACCTCATACCATATGAAGGTAATGATGGCCAAAATGTAACACTATTTATGAAACACTACCTGAAAAGCAATGCTTCAGACCAGGACTTCTGCTCACAGATAGCCAGCATAGCCTCTAAAGCAGGATGAAAGAGGACATTCAGGAGACGTGCTGACTTCTCACTCTCCTGGGAAGCTTACACACTAGGGCTAGGGACAGACATTTAAGAAGCCAGAGCCAGAATTGAGTCAATATTTGCAGGTTAGTCTAACCTGGCTACGCTGAACCAGTTTGTAACTGGGCAGACATGCTCTCTGGACTGAGGGAATTGAGGCACATGCCTGCAGTGGCTCAGGCTACAAGCTGGGGGACAACAGATCAGCCCTCCCTTCCCTTGCACACTGCTGAGCTGAGTGGGGTGTGGGCAGGCCCCAGCAGGACCTCTGATTAGGGTGGTCTGCCTGCACAGTCTCAGGCTGTTCTCTGGTGGTTGCTCAAGGGGTGGGAGTGTTGCCAGACCCCAGCCCAGGGCAAGCACTCTGAGGCAAGGGAGTGGGGTACAGTACATGCATCTGTTGACGACATTGAGCTTTACAATCTTCCTCTCCCTGCTTCGTCATACTGTCTGCAGCAAACTGACAGGCGAGCAAGCCAGCAGGGGACTGATAACCGTGATTATCACCTCATCAGCAAAACAACAGCCTCTCTCCATTACTTCAAACTCTTCTTAAACAGCTTACCAGCTGACCTGTTAATTAGCTCTAAATAGCCCTAAGAGGTCACTGTTCTGTCTGCCTATCCTAGTGAAATTGGAGAGACACACACACAGAGACACCTCTCAGCATTAGGTAGCATACCACGTGCCTAGGGTCCGTGGGGCTGGGGTCCGTGCTGTGGGAGATGGAAGGGAGAGAAGGGGTGGGGGGGATTCTTGCTTACGCAGTGAGCAGTGAAGCAGGGAGTCAGGAAGACCCTGCTGTGCCTGCAGCCTCTGCCAGAGCGCTGGCTAGGGAGCCGAAGGGAGGGGCCAGCCCTGCTGTGGACCACAGAAATCCACCCAGCCCAAGAGCATGCCCAGATGCTGGGGGTATCTGGTTTGTCTTAAACCAGCAAGGGGTCTGGGACAGACATTGCATAAACTGGTTTGAGCCAAATCAGTTAAGTCTGATACTATATTCAACTGGGTTTATCTCAAACCAGTTTCAGCCACTTTCAGACTGGTTTATGTGCACTGAACATCTGTTCTGTTATAGGCTTAAACCAGTTTGTGTGTAATGTCTGTCCCTAGACCAAGGGCTTTACTAGCCTCTATGAAGCATTTAGCTACCATTCCCTAGATATATTTCCTTATCCTTCCCCTGGACGCAAGCACACCTGTAAATGCAGAAGTACCAAATTGCAACTGTGGGATGGGGTAAAGAAAAGGTAACTGGTCTAGTGTCTAAAGTGCTTATACATGTAGAGATAAGTATTATTTTAATGACTCTAAAAATATACAAGCAGATTAAATTAGACTTTTAGCCCTCCCCTGAAGGGCTGATTCTTCTTTCTACAGAAACCAGGGCAGAGTACTACGGAAACACCTGATGAAGTAATCTGTTGCCTACAAAAGCTCATACTTCTCTAAACTAGTAAGTCTCAGAGGTGGTACTTCTTAACCAGGATGCAGTGTGCCTTGAGATCCTTTCACCACACAACTGTTAGCAGTTGTGTGTGCAAACATGATTCACAAAATAAGTTGAGATGTCAAACAGAAACCTATGGTTTTAAAAGCCATTCTGACTTGGTGTGGGCTTGAGTGCTTTGTAACACACACGTACTTATTTTTCCATAGTCAAAAAAACAAGTGAAAAATAAATAAATAAAAAGAGTTGGCATTTTCCAAGAGGTGCCTCAAGTATAAGAAGAGGTTGCTTGGACCCTAAAAATGGTAAGATGACTCTCTGCTCTAAAAGGTGCCACCTTGACTTGCCTCCTGCCTGACAAATTAGCACATAGTATTCCATAAATGCAACCTATTTCTACCAATGTAAAGGCTCCCACAAGATCACTGTTCATGAAGAAAAAGAACACAAGCACAATCACTAAATTTGATGGGATGTTTTCATTTACTTGTTTTGAGTAAGTGTTTTGTTAAAAAGACAAACTTTTTAAAAATATTCCAAACTCATGCTGTTTACAGTAAACTAATTCAAAACAGGAAAGGCCCAGGAATTTCTGGTTCACTGTTACCTCTCGTGTTTGAAAGCAGACAGCCTCTAATGCAGCAAAGGCAATGTGATTTTTATTTGTAAACTGAGTAAGGCCACAGATAATACTGTTGAAGAGAAAAAAAAAATTAAACACACAGATAAGCAATTGGGAATCACTCATTTTAACCATACTATTCCAAGTATTTTAATGCTTAGTATATAAAAAAACCCAAAACAAACAACCCCCCCAAAAAACCAAAACATTTGTGGTTTTACAGGTAGCATTAAAAATAATAAAACCTATTTTATAGTCCTCCCCTCCCTGCAAGTATATTTTCAGTGGATGAATGTTTTTGGTTAGCCTGCCACATGTTAGCCCTGTACCCTTTCCAAGTGCCACTCTGATGCCCTTCCCCTGCCAGATCTGCCACTGCTCTCCTCCTTGCCCAATTTGCTGATTCATTTGCTTCTCCTCGACCTCTGGTCCCCATCTCATCTGCCGTTCTGTTTCTTGCCCTATCTGCCTCTGCGCTGCCTGCTCCTTCTCATCTGCCATTTGCCATGCACAGAGGCTGCCCATGCCACTTGCAGCACATGTGCTGCCCTTGGCCAGCCATTTTAGAAAGTGGTTGTGCTTTTGAGCTGCAGAGCAGCCTGATATGCTGACTTCAAACACCCCCTCCTGCTCTCATCTTTTCTTCACAATGCAGTAGCAATTCTCTCAAAAGGACAAAAGAAACACATTCAATTAAATTCTGTGGTGTTTTTGAAGGAGAAGGAGCAAGTTCAATGAGTAAGGTTAGTGGCCCCACCTACCCATTAGAAGTCAAGGATTGTTTACAATATCACCAGACCTTTCTGCTCATATAGTATTCAGTCAGATCCTTACCCTCTTGCACTGGGTTCCCAGTATGGTGCATAGAGTCCTGAAAATGCTGGTACGAAGTAGCAGCCATAAGAAGTTCCCACTTCAGCAGCAAGTTTTTCTAGCACACACAAACACAGAGTCTTTACTTAGCTCTATGCCCAAATACATTTATAGAACCACAGAATCATAGAAGTAGGGTCGGAAGGGACCTTGTAGATCTTCAAGTCCGACCCCCTGCCTGGGCAGGAGAAAAACCGGGCTCAAATGACTCCAGCCAGGTAGGCATCAAGCCTCCTCTTAAAGACACCGAGGGTAGGAGCCAGCACCACTTCACTTGGAAGTTGGTTCCAGATCCTAGCCACCCTGACTGTGAAGTAGTTCTTATGGATGTCTAATCTAAACCTACTCTCCAGCAACTTATGGCTATTATTCCTTGTTATGCCAGGGGGTGCTACAGGAAACAAGGTCTCTCCCAATCCCTGCTGGTCCCCCCTAGTGAGTTTATAGACTGTCACCAGGTCCCCCCTCAACCTTCTCTTGTGAAGGCTGAGCAGGTTCAGGTCCTGCAGTCTCTCGTAGTGAAATAAGTGTTTGATTTGGTATGTTTTCCTGTCCCAGAAGTTATTGTTTAAGAGACAATTAAAAACATATCTATGAAAACAGTTAAAAATACTACAACTAGAAGGCAGGCACGGCTATTCTGGCACCCAGATGGCTGAGCAATGATCAGGATTAAGGAGTTAAGATTCAAATCTCTGAAGGAAATCAATGGGATCGGTAGATAACCAGCATCTCAGACCACCTCTAGTTAAATGATCCCATCTAGGTTTAGGTTGCAAGACTTTAGCAAATAAGTTGGATATTGTTGGGTTTTATTCATTTTTTAATGTATACAATTTTATAACATTCCGAATTTTAAATTCACAATTTATATTGGGGTAAGATGTCCCAAACTGTATAAGTGCCCTAATTCTCACTGACCAGTCACTTGAAAACAAACACAAAGTTTATACACTTTTGCAAATTTTACCCGTTACCCTCATTTTTAAAAGTTAGTTTAGCCTCAGTTTCTGTAATATTGAACTGGAAACTTACATACTATTGTGTGTTTTTTCAAACAGAAAAGTGTTAACTACCCAGATTCCTCTTGTTTTTTTCCATTCTCAGTCATCATGGATATCCTGACTGGATACTAAAATCATATACCAAATTAAATGCCACTTAACCATCATGTAGATTGAGACCTTCAGTTAGTTCAGTGTTACTACGCTCTTCCACAGAGATTACAACGTACAAGGCCATGGTCCTACACTTTGGATCACAAGGCCTGGGAAAGAATTTATAGGTTTTATGATCCAATTTTCAGTGAACTTCATAATTAAACTAATAAATTCACCACTTCTGTGATACTTGCCTAGATGTCAGCTTAATGTAGCTCTCAGGAGTTTTAGTACAAGTGTTTTTTGCAGAAATCCAACATCCTTACAGTATTTTGGGGAGTGACTAATTGCAAATAGTTGTACATGTTAGTCAACATTTATATTACTGAACTTCTCTAAACATTTAACTTTTCATTCAATACTAGAGACTTCAAGACAGTTTGAAGAAGCCTGCAAATTATGAATACTTACCAACTTCCTGGGAAGATTTCACAATACCAAGATTGTCCCTCAGCCAGCGAACAACAGCCCCAGCTATGGCAACAGACCCCTACAGGAAATGAAATCATACATTTAGTTTATTAAATTTCTACCAGACGCTAACTGAAAATTTTGTTTTCACTGATTATTTGTATGTGGTCAGAGAAAAAGGAAAGAAGGGAGCACTGTGCCAACTCCACACTCTGTGTGACTAATTGTTAGGATGTTTGTCATTCTGGTCCTAGGCATGCAGCTGTAAGGTCCAATAGCCCCAGGTTCCAATCTAAAGCTCCTTGCGACAAAAAGACATCCACCAAACTTCAAGGATTCTTCTGATATCTGACAGGCAAGGTTCTTTGAGTAGATGTGATATCTTTTATTAGACCAACTGAGTAGCTGGAAAAAAGTTCTTGGCAAGCTTTCAGACACAGTCACCCTTCTTCAGGCATAGGAAGTCTCTGCTGGTCTGAGACTCCAAGGAATAAGAGAAGCTAAAAGTGTGGTGGGATGTCAGTGAGAATGTAAACAGGTAGAAATTAGAAAAACAAAAAGGTAAAGCCAGCAAGAGAGGGGGAAGAAAGCAGGGGAGAAAAAAATGCCAAAGGGAAGACATTATAGTGATAGAATATGAGGTAGAAAAGAGGCTTTAAGTGAAAAAGGAAATAGTAGGAGATCAGGAATAGTTGTCCTGTGAGAAATGTGCCCCCACAGGTAGTTGAGTATTCTTGTCTTTGATAGATTTACGGTGTGCATTCATTCTGCTGCGCAACTGTTGTTTGGTTTTCTCCAACATATTTTCCATCAGGGAATTTGGTACACTGGATGACAGGTATAACATGTATGCAGGTGCAGCTGTACGATCTAGGAATGGTGATGGTTTTGTTGTGGGTGGAGACGTGTTGGCAGGTTTTGCATTTCTTGTCCTGGCATAGTCTGGATCCATTGCTTTCTTTCCCCTCCCTTCCCCGCTTTACTTTTTGTTTTTCTAATTTCTACCTATTTCCCTG